GCTTCTCACCTCCGCTTGGTTCACCAGCTGAGCAGCCAATGACAGCAGAGCATCCACGACTGACGGCAGGAAGAGCCGATGAAAAGTCTCAGAATGTGGGCCAGGCTCCACCCCCACACAGCAGGAGCTGCAGACAGACAGACAGGTGTGGGATCTCCATCCTCCTTCAAATAAATCCTCAGTTTAAAGTGAAGCTGTGATCTCAGGTTACCTTGTGAGGTGGGCCAGTGTAGCAGCCGCGCTCAGGTCGCTCCACAGGCTGCTGGGATGCAGAGACAGAACACGGACGCAGTGGATCAGCACGCCGCTCAGATACAGCTGAGACTTCAGCCGAGTCAGCTCGCCACTGTTCACGTGGACAGCTGCCGAGTTCAGAGCATCTAACACAGGAAATGTAAGATAGAGTTGTACATGCTCTTATTCTGAAAAGTTGTTTGACAGAGGAACTGACAGGAAGTGAGCCTCTCACTGTTTAAGCTATCATTCAGCAGTCTGAGTTTTTCCACCGGGGTCAGGTGTTCATTCTCCAGCTGCCTCTTCAGCTCCAACACCAGCTCATTCTCCTCTTCCTCAGGCTTCTTCTTCACCTCCATCACCTCCAACTTCCTGTAAACACAAAACAATAATTTCCAAAATATCTGATACAAAACATAAATACCATAATTTTGTTTTTAAAAAGAATGATAAATAATAAAAACATTAAAATAGCAATTTGATAGCATTTCAATTATATTTTAAAAAATACAGTAATTTTATTTGAAACATGAAATCTGTATTCACTTTTTCAAAACATTAAATGTTAAATTAAGCTAAAAAAGGGGGTTCTTTACCTTTTATTGCAAATAAAAATGGTAAAATAAACTATAACCTTTTAAAAGATTACAATTATTTCTGTTCATTTAAATTTTTTAGCATTTTTATTAACTTATATTTCATTTATTTATACAGTACATTAAATTTGTCACTTTTTTTTGGGGGGGGGGGGGCGCTCTAGCAGCTAAATTGATTAAAGTGATTAAAATAGAATTAAAACTTCTAATTACAAGAATTAACATACCTAAACCTTAGACACCAAAAATAGGTTTTTTTAATATATTAATTCAACTATTCCTAATGTGTTTAAATATTTGACACGCTGATCTGCACGCTGGTCTGACACGCTGGTCTGCAGTATGGGGGCCCCACAGGGAACTGTGCTGGCACCGTTCCTCTTCACCCTCTACACTGCAGACTTCTCCATCAACTCCCCACGCTGCCACCTACAGAAGTTCTCTGACGACTCTGCCATAGTCGGCCTCATCACAGGTGAGGACGACTCAGAGTACAGACAGTGGACTCTGGACTTTGTTGACTGGTGTCAGCAGAACCATCTGCTGATCAACGCCGGGAAAACGAAGGAGTTGGTGGTGGACTTCCGGAGACGCAGACCCACCACACTGGCACCGGTGAACATCCAGGGAGTGGACATTGAGATAGTGGACTCTTATAGGTACCTGGGTCTTCACCTGAATAATAAACTGGACTGGAGCCACAAAACTGATGCTCTTTACAGGAAGGGTCAGAGCAGACTCTACCTGCTGAGGCGGCTGAGGTCATTTGGAGTCCAGGGAGCGCTTTTAAAGACCTTCTATGACTCTGTGGTGGCATCTGTCATTTTTTACAGTGTAGTATGTTGGAGCAGCAGTTTATCGGCAGCTGAGAGGAAGAGGTTGGATAAACTCATCAGGAAGGCCAGTTCTGTTCTGGGATGCACCCTGGACCCAGTACAGGTGGTGGGAGACAGAAGGACTCTGGCCAAAATAACATCTCTGATGGACAGAGTCTCCCACCCCATGCATGTAGATGTTGCTGAACTGCAGAGCTCCTTCAGTGACAGACTGCTGCATCCTAGATGCATGAAGGAGCGTTTCCGCAGGTCCTTCCTCCCTGCAGCTGTCAGACTGTACAATCTGAACTGCTCCCAACAAACATAGATGTTTACATCAATGCTGTAACTGCAATAAGTTAGTTAATTAACCAATTCGCACTACATCCTGGTTTGCCTCTTACCTGTAATTATTTTTATTTAATTTAATAACTGTACAGTACTCTCTGTTTATAGTAACCATTGTCCTTAATGTAAATATGTAAGAAAAATTGTGTATGTTTCTGTTCCGTGTCCTGTGTACTGTTTGTAGTATATTTGTCTTTTTGGCTGCTGTTACAACCAAATTTCCCCTTGTGGGACAATTAAAGGATTATTCTATTCTATTCTATTCTATTTCCAAACCGTTTAACCTTTTAAACGTTCCACAAATTACAAAATAATATTAAAAATGTTGACAGAAGCACTTAGGTTAAACTTTTAAGAGTTAAAAAAGTCCCAAAGTGTGAAAAAAAAATCTATTTAGGAGTTCATATAAAGGGTACAAATATTATAGTCTTAGAACGTCTCGAAATGACCCTCTTCGGTCTCCGTAGAGATAAAATTCATAATGCAGGAAATCAGTGCACTATAAAAAAGTGCTCTCATTTCCGAAATTCTGTGTGATGGTGCAACACGCTCTCAGGTAAAGTGGCTTTAAAGTACGGGTACACAAAATAAAGCCCCGCTAAAGCGAATACAGACAGAAGTGTTTCCGGTGTGTCTGCAGAGCCTCACCTGACTCGTGTTTGTCGTCTCAGCTAACAGTTTGATAACACTGAGTGACTCAAGCGGTTACATTAGCCGTCTACATAGCACTTACGGTCAGTCGATGAGTTACAAACCTTCACTTAAAAACTCAAGAAACGGCGATTATTATCTAACGAGCTAGTTCTGTTAGCTGTTAGCGCAGAGTAAGCAAACGACTCCTCTGTTTCTACGGTAACATGACGTCATGACGCAGCGACGGCACACACCCCTCTGCGGTAAAGTTTCATTCAGGAAAAAAACAACTTCAATGCAAATCTTTATTTAAATGTGTAAACATGGTAAAATAACAAAAATATAAATTAAAAATTAAAGTGAAAATAAAAAAATTTTCATGTCTTAAAAATAATTTTAAATATTGCAAGTGGCATTTGGTGAAATTAGTGAAATATTTTAACACTACTTTATGTGTTGTAAAAATCAAGTAATCATCAAAAACCTCTGCTATACTTTCAAGGTATATAATTATTAGTATTTTAATATATGTGAAAAATTAAAAAATATATATTATAATATAATAATATAAGGTATATAATTACAATATTGTGGAAAAAATAAAGCACAGTTAAAAATGCAAAAAATTCCATATTAAAAGATATCAACAAATTGAAAGAAAAAAATTCAGAAGAACTGTATAAGAATTAATAAGTCTAATAATAAGGTTTAAAAAGTAAAAAAAAAAAAAACAACTTTATTTTTAGAAAGTCTATTGTTATTTAATTCATTATAAGTTATGTATATTTAATGCTATTTAAAAAGATCTACTAAAATTATTAAATGAGTAGAAAAATATTAGAAGTGCATTAAATATATTCTAAAAAGTTCACAAAGATGGTCAGATATTAAAATAAGAAAGTACTTGTGCAGCTTAATGAAGAGAATAACAATTTATTTTCCGAGTAAAAGGAGATTAAAAATGTGAAACTAAACTGATTTAAAGGTGAAACCCTGTTGCTGTGATTACTCATTTATCCTGTTTGGTTTTAATCCCGCAGTTTGAGGTCAGTCTGCTGTTTGCTCCTCTCTCCTGCAGGTGGCGCTGCAGCTTTATTCATTCAGCTGTGTAGGTTCCTCTGCTGCTCAGCTTCACTTCAAACACATTATTGTACATTTCTTCGCACTTTTTTTCTCTTCATTTCTGAGGAGGTTTGCTATCTTTTACCTTCAGACTTTTGCAGCTGTGTGTGACCTCTTTGCGTTTTCTGAGTCATGTAAAATAAATCTTTAACTTTCTGATTTGTTGGAGAACATCTCACAAGTGTGTTATTATCATTATTATAATTGATTATGTTAATTCATTTATTGATTTAACGATCTATTATTTGCACATTAATAAAGGGATTTCATTGCTAACAACATTCAGTATAACAAGGATATAATCTAAAGAATGAAAACAGCAGAGCAGTGCAGTGTTTAGCATTGTTGGCCCACATCAAGAAAGTTTTGGGTTTAAGTCCAGGAGCGACTGTGTTTTGTCTGTGTGGAGTGTTGTCCCGCTGTGGGTTCTCTCCAGGTTATATACCAGTTCTATGACTGCTGGGAAAGGCTTCAGTCTCCCCTGGACCCTGAATTTATAAATAAGAATATGGATGGATAAAAATATATCTTAATATGATATAAAATAATATAATATATAAGAAAGTATATGATGGAAAACGTCTATAATATGCGAATAATACATA